CCTTTCTTCATAACTTAATACCTTCAATCTTTGTCAACAGCTACCTTTAATATCTTTTATATTTTACTTTGTGGTGCACCATGGTCCAGGTATGTACAATATTGAGATTAAAAACCAGTAGAACATCTCCCCAATCAACCTAATATTCACCAGTGCCTACAACAGAATGCTGATGTGTGAGTAAATGTTCTACCCCCCCTCTGGTTCCTGTGTGTTCAGAGGGGTCGGAGGGGCTGCCGGATAAGAGCCGGCGTGCTCAGCAGCAGCTGGAGCGCAGCACCGAGGAGCGAGGGAGGAAGATGGAGGTGCAGAAGAGGAAGGAGCAGCAGCGCCGGGCCGCAGCCGGGGAGAAGAGACGGCAGCAGCAAGAGGCAGAGAAGGTCAGAGGTCACCGCACACTAATGACGCGTGATGCCCTAAATGAACATATCTTAAAATACTGTCATTCAAATAATGGTTCATGAATTAATAAACTAGAAACAATAAACGTGATCAGAAAGCAGAAGCATTTTAAAACGCAGTGTGTATGAAGTAAACAAGACAGAAAACTAGGATCTGATTGGTTGCTAGATTTGGTACTTTTCCATTTTCAGTGACTTAACATCAAAGCAGTCACAATGCATTGAGACCAAGCACCAAAATCCAATATAGCTCTTTTTTTACATGTTTACTTGCTAAATTAGTAATTCAAATGAACTCAATCTGACTAAATCCAACTAATAATTAATATTTGTTTTATCTTATACTTCTAAAATGTGTTTTATATAATGTCTTAAACACCTTTTGTTCATTTGAATCCCAAAAGGTATGAATTTATTGTAAAAATAAATATTATACTCCTCCAATAATTTGATATCTCATAAATGATACAAAAAGACACACATGCAGCTAAAGCCACCTCTACATGCTTTACTTCTCATCTCACTCCCATCACTCTGTCGTTCACACGTTTGTTATCACATGATCAAAAAAGCGTGTTTTCCCCCAATCATCGCTCTCTCTTTCTCCTGTTTTCTTTTTCTCTCTCTGAGCTCTGACGTTAAATTAATCGTGTCGATCCATAACCCAGTCAGTGAGTTTCCAGCTGTTGTTGGGCTGAACAGGACTTTAAGGGAATAGCAAGTAATTAATGCAGCCGCTCTAATGGCTTTCTGTCAGCTGACCAATTGTGTGCATTCAACTGAAACATGAAAAGTTACGCTGGTTTTCTGCTCAGACTTAAAGCCTCAGAGCACAGACACTGGATTTAACACCCTTTACATCCACAACCAATACATACAAGATGTACTATCTGTAGTTATGTGCATAAAATGGATGAACAATGTTTTAATCTTTAGGTCATGTTTAGAACAAATAGAATATATCGTTACTGTCCACAAGGTTGATAAATGTTCTGCTGTTCTTAAAGACAGGAAACAGCAACACAAAAAGCTGAACAACATTTAGTAAAACAAAACCAGAAAGACTTGTATTACACATTAAAACAGTTCATGTTAATGTCTGTGGCTTAAATCTTCTACTTCTTGGATAAAAGTTCTAAAATATGTTTTCTTAATTGTGTTAAATATGTGTTAATTGTCAGAGGATTTCTATAACAGCTCCCTGGCCGAATGGAGGATGGAAGCTATCTCTTATGATATCTCTAGCTTCTGAATTCCTTCTGTAAAAAAACACAGGTGAAGGAATTTTGGCACGCTATTTTAATTGCTATTCACATAATGCTAGAAAGTGTATCCTTACATCTACAGTACGTAACTTGACCACAAAGCGTAAAGGGGTGAGGAAAACGTGAGGAAAAGGCGATAAGAGATGATTTTTCAGTTCATGTTTAGGGATTTTTTCTAATAGAATAGTGAAGAAGCCTGAAACATGTATCATCTCCCCAACATGAGTCATCATGAGTGGGCATCACTTGGCTGGGAACCATTGACATGTTGTTTTTATAATCCTTTTCAGGGTTAAACATATATCCTCTGCTGTGTTTTCTGTTATAATCCTTTAGAATAGGAATTATGAATGGCTTTTTGAAACGCAGCACATCAAGGGTTAACAAGCCCCCCCGCTGAGTGACAGGCTGATCCACAGAGAGTTCACCATTCACCGCTCAGAGAGAGGTGGGGTCGCAGCCTCTATTGATTTAAAAAAGCTCTGTTTGCATGCTTAACAGCCCCCTCCCCCTTCACTCATATGCATAAATTAATGACATAATGATTGGTCAGCCTCATGGGGAAATGACATCACCGGCAGCGTATCATGTGCCGGTTACTGGAAGAGATATTCGATGCTCGCTGTGCTGTGACAAGGACATATTTCACACCGGAAAGGGAAATAAATCTGGTTCAATGAGGAAAACATAGATTTCAGAAAATGGCAGGGCGGAAAAATATCAGAAGATTTGTACCTGTTTGTGCCATCTTTTGAAGAGGACTCTAAAACAAAGAAACACATAGGAATGAAGATGTTGGTTTACTCTAAAAGGACAAAGAAAGCAGTAGATACTCACCTTTGAGAAGCTGAACTGAACAAATGCTGGACATTTCTTTATGTTAAATTACTAAAACAATTTCTGTTATCAAAATAGTTGCTAATCAATCTTTTCTTAGATGAATTTACTAATCATTCGAGCTCTAGATTGTAGTTTTGTGATAATTAGCGCCCAAAATAGATTGATTTACAGAAGCTTTTTCAAATTGAAAACCTTTTTTATAATTTTTTTGTATTATATTGGAGTTAAGAAATGTCAACATGTGCCTCAGTGAAGGATCATGTTTTAAACAGTCAGCTCCTTTAAGTTGTTCATATTCAGGTTTTTGTCAATGTAGATGGTATTTGCTGTTCGGATTATTTGATTGATTGATAGCTTTTCGGCTAAATCTTAACGCGTGAAGGTCCGAAAGCTCTCCGTTGGTACCTGTAATTCATGTGCTAGTGTGTCAGGCTTTCAATCTTTGCATGTCGGGTTATAAAACAGTCTGATAGGTCACCTCTGTGACCACATAAGGATTTCACTTTGCCACATTTTAATAAATGAATATTAACTTGATGCTGCAATGCCCTTTATAAATAAGATAGCTAACAAGTAAATACTTCAAAGTCTGCATTGAAATGTATCATCTTCTGCAGAGAAATAGTAAATGCTTTAGTCTGCTTTGTTCTTTCATTTCAAACCTTTATTTAACCAGGTGAATCCCATTGAGATCATCGATCTCTTTTTCAAGGGAGACCTGCTGCAAGTAGGTTCCACATGAAGACAGGAAAACATGAAACAACAGAAAAACTAAATTGACATCATACAACATAGATACAGGGATAAACAATGTACATACCTAACGACATGTACAGGTACCAACAGTTTCACATTGCATAGCAACTATATCCAAGGTATATCTCTTTTCCACTTCCATCCCCCTTCATCTCTCATCTGCTGTCTCTTTTTAATTCCCCCTTCTCGCCTCTACCCCCCCCATCCCGTCGTCCTCCTGCAGTTTGTGCGTGACTCTGCATGCACCTTCAGCAAACCCCTTTGTGCTGCTGAGGTGGGGCATTTCCATCCTTAAATATACACATGGCATGTTTGAGCTTTAAACTCTGCAGTTCCAGTTCTTTATATAAAACTGCTGTCTGCTTTCTGACATTATTCTTTTTGGGCTTTTTGTTCATTGTGCATACAAAGAACATTATCCACAAACTCCCGTCCTCAATAACAAATCATTTTCCTTATAAAGCGACACTTAGCCAAGATAATTGTATAAAAATATAAATGAGCAAGTATCTATTAAAGAGGACATTTAAAGAAAGCAAATACTGATAAACCTTGTGTACACAAAACCCATTATACTATATATAGGAATGTTTAAATGAGAATCTGCTTTCTGACGCTGCCACATTTATGGCAATAACAAATTGTCAATAGAAAAAGCAGGAAGCGAAAGAGAGAAAAATAAAATATATTAGTCAAAGAGCCGTTTATTAAACAATGAAACCCTGAATTATATTATATTCTACATTCAAGCCACACCCTACTCATTTCCTCTTTAATATTAATCTGCCAAGAGGAAAAAGAACAGATTAGTGCAGTGTACACAAAAGAATATGTAAAACTCTACAGGGAATATTTCTCACTTTGATGGAAAAGAACAATTCGTTTGCACAATATCCTATATGTTGTTTTGAATATAATGTGTTGCTGTTTTGCTTTGATTTGTATGCGTTTGATCAATTACCTGTACATTTAAAACAAGTATACTGGGTATAGAGACAAGCAGGTGAAGGTAGAAAGAGGGATGGAGATAAAAAAACAGTATTCCCATTGTGCATGTGTGTGTGTGTGTGGGCATGGTCCCCTGTGTGTGTGTGTGTGTGTATTAATGCATGTACGTGGGGGGTGGTGAAAGGTTGCAATTTTCTCTCCTGTCTGACTAAACTGCTCTTTGAAATAGAGGGAGGGAGATCGAGGTAGAGAAAGAGAGAGAGAGAGAGAGAGAAAGGGAGAGGGTGGGGTGAAACATTGGGAGGTAGGGAGGGAGTCAGTGTTACCTAGAGGGGGAGGCAGAGCGAGAGAGAGAGAGAGAGAGAGAGGGAGCCGAGCTGCTGTATTATGTATCACTGAGTGTGAGCCGAGCCAGCGATCGAGCGCCGGTGACCGCCAGAGAAACGCTCGAGTGTGCAGAGGACGGAGGGGCGAGGTTCGCTGCTCTACACGGTTACCATGGCGCAGCTGTCTCCGTGCGCATCACCCGGCAACCGTCGCCGCAGTGATGGCTCAGTGAGAGAATGTCTGTTCTTCCCCATTTCTGAACGCAACGAGCAGGAGAGGCTGGAGGCCCTGGTGCGCCGGAGAGCGGGAGGCTCAGAGAGACGAGGAGGAGGAGGGGGAGGAGGAGG